CACCTACTCATGTATTTATCCAAACTATTTTTAAAACTACACAATGTCTTAGTGTCTATGACGGTACTCATCCACAACTCTATTACCAAACCACTGCTTCCCTATATCCTTCCTGAATCTGATTTTTTCCAATTTAAAGCCATTGCTGCGAGTCCTGTCTATGTTAGATATTTTTAGCACGCTATTTACATTCCCTTTATTGATTCCTGTTTTCCATTTATATACCTCAGTCACATCCCCCCTAATTCTACGTCTTTCTAGAGAGTGCAGGTTCAGGGCCCTCAGTCTATCGTCATAGGGAAGATTTCTGATACATGGGATCAACTTTGTCATCCTCCTTTGTACGTTTTCCAGTGCATTTATATCCATTCTGTAATATGAAGACCAAAACTGCGCAGCATAATCTAAATGAGGCCTAACCAAAGATATATAGAGCTGAAGAACAACCTGAGGGCTTCTATTATTTATACTTCTTGCTATGAAGCCAAGGATTCTGTTAGCTTTATTGTGAACACTTATGCACTGTTGTCTTGGTTTTAGATTACTACTAACCAGAACTCCTAAATCCTTTTCGCAATTTATTTATTTATTTATTTATTTCCAATTTGTGCACACATACAGAGGTACAAAAAAAATACAGATAAGAGCAGTATGCCAAAGCCACTTATACTATGCATAGCATTATGGGCTGGCTTAAAATTAACTTAAGATTAACTAAGCAATGATTATTATTATTATTATAATCAAAAAGAAGCGCTAAGCCACAAGGACTATACAGCGCTGCTACTAAGCAATCCGTAATATTAAGATCTACATTATTTAGTTTACATTATTTATGGTTATTTTCCAGTCCAACATTTAGAACTTTGCATTTGTCTATATTAAACTTCATCTGGCACTTCTCCGACCACTGCATCAGTCTATTCAAGTCATCCAAGAGTGCTCTAATGTCCTCATTAGAATGAATTGGACGGCCTATTTTGGTGTCATAAGCAAATTTGCTTATGTCGCTGTTTATTCCCTCATCTATGTCGTTCATGTAGATTGTGAACAACAAGGGGCCCAACACTGACCCCTGTGGAACACCGCTTGTGATGTGCCTCCATTCCGATTTCTTCCCATTTATGCAAACTCTCTGTTGCCTATTCGTCAACCATGCCTCAACCCAGGAAAAAATTTCTCCTCCTATTCTGTGTGCCTTAAGTTTCCTCAGTAGCCTCTGATGTGGAACTCTATCGAAAGCCTTACTGAAGTCCACATATACAATATATTCAATACCATGATCTACCTCATCAAATACCTTAGTGAAGAAAGTAAATTCCTAAGACAGGAACGCCTCTTTGTAAAACCGTACCGAGAATCATTCATCAATTTATGCCTTTCGAGATGGCTACGAATTGCTTCGGCAATTATTGATTCCATAAATTTTCCCTCTATGGAGTTAAGGCTTATTGGTCCATAGTTTGAAGCTATGGACCTGTCACCTGCCTTGTAAATAGGCATTACATTTGCCATTTTCCACTTGTCAGGTACTATTCCAGTTTGTAGTGATATATTGAAAAGATTAGCCAAAGGTATGCTAAGTTCCTCTTTACATTTCTTTAACAACCTTGCAATTCATCAGGGCCTGGGGATTTGTTAAGTTTTAGTTTCTCTATTTGTCTGAAGACCATGTCACTAGTTACTGCAACAGTGCACAGTTTATTATCGTCCTGTTCTACATAATCTATTATTTCTGGAATTTCGCTATTATCTTCCTGAGTAAAAACTGCTAGGAAGTAAGAATTGAAAGTCTCACACATTTCCTTATCACTGTCAGTGATCTGACTTGAGCTACTCTTAAGTGGGCCTATCTTGTCCCTAATCTTACTCCTGTATACCAGAAAGAACCCTTTTGGGATAGTCTTCGAATCCCTTGAGATCTTAGCCTCATAATCCCTTTTTGCTTTTCTTATTCCTTTTTTTATTTCTCTCTTTAATTGAATATACTGATTTCTTAACTGCCCCTCCCCTCTTTTGATACGCCTATATATGCCTCTCTTTTGACCAATGAGATGTTTTAATCTATTGTTCATTCATTTGGATTATTTTTGTTAGATCTAATTTCCCTACTCGGAACAAAAGTTGTCTGGGCAGCTAGAACTATGCTCTGAAAAACGTCATATTGGCAACCAAGATCACCTACCTGACCCATAGTCAGGACATTCCAATTTAGCTTACCCAGGTAATTTTTCAGTCCCATGAAATCAGCCAAGCGAAAGTCTGGGACAGAGATTTGATTGCAGTTATTCGGTAACTCCATGATGTATTGAAACTAAGTGATTTGTGATCACTTTCTCCAAGCTCATCATTAACCTCAAGATTATTAATTAGTGACTCTTTGTTGGCAAGAACCAAGTCAAATAGACTGTTTCCTCTAGATGGTTCTGTCACAACCTGTTTTAAAAAGCAATCCTGAACCGTATCAAGAAAGTCACTAGACTCAAGATTTCCTGCCAAA